AAAATATGATTGAGCTTTCATTTCTTCAACATTTTCCCAAAAGTACCTGTACAGTTTGAGTTACCTCATCTACTCAACATCCAAACACCATTTCTTGTCAAGCTTAAAATCTATTAAACAAGTAGAGAATATTCTTTTTTTGTTTTAAAAAGCAAAAAACTGCAGGAATTTATGAGATATAGTGTGACATGGTGACTCTCACTCACGTTCTTTGCAGTCCGGATAAAGTTTTCGTCAATAATCTACTTCCCGTCATCCCGTATAGCCTTTTTACAGAGATCTAACGGTCTAAAATTTCAATTTTCAATGTCACGAATACCATAGTTTACTACATGTTTTTATTATGCATACTTTGGATGTATGTTAGCGATATCTCGAGCATTACACATAATTTAACAAAAGTGTGGTGCGCCGTCAAGTTAAGAGACGTCATTTTCACAGTCGTTTTCACGGGAATCGCATGCGACAAAAAATCACTATATTTCTGTTAGTACTTCAAATATCACGTCAAAAATCGAAATTCATAATTATAATAGAACAATTTAAAGATACATTTGAAAAAATTGTCGGAAAATATTGCGAATCATGGAAAATCAATGAGTTAAATTTTGTATTCCAAGTGCTTTTGCTTCAAATTTTTGGTAGTGATCCATACCTTTCTATCAGCGATATCAACATACCGAAAATTTTAGTAGAATTTTTTTAAAATACAGAAACTTTATTGGACTCTTTAAGATAAATATTTCTGTGAAATTTCATAACTATATGACGTCTGTAAGAGTATATAATAGCACAGTCCGTATAACATTTGAAGGACCCTCGTACTTACATGTTTCTATACGTATTTTGTATGAAACAAATATAGGTCGGATCAGGTGTCATGGATAAAGGAATATCTACTTCCTATATAGCTTATCTTTAAAAATGAAACAGTGGCACAATAAAAATGAAACAGTGGTACAATAAATTGTATTCTATCAAATTTTTATGGAAATTCTGGTCTTCAAATGTCATACATAAATTATTAAGCAGAAATACCAGGCGAGAACTTTGTTGCAGATCCTTAGAATACTTGTCAAAAGAACCATGATGTTTAACAAAACATTATTTTTATAATGACTAGTCAATATTTGTATTTGTGGGATCCTTGTTATGAACATAATAGTAATTTTTGATGTTCAGATAGTATTTCATTAAACAACCCGTGTACCATTTACATCGACTACAGACAGAATGGATGATCGTTGTTATTGGTTGGTTTTATTTTTTTAATTACTTTTTTTCTTAAACTCTTAAAGAGGTTTTTGTTTTCCAAATCTCTGAGTTTTTCTAGTAACACCTGCAGTACAGTAGTGGAGTATATCTGATGTTTCTTCTTCTTTTATTTTATTTTTTTTTGGGCTTGATATGGGCATTATATTCTAGAGAATTCTCCTAATTTCTATGTCTTTATGTAAGTTTTCTGAAGTTCTGGTTGTCGCGTGGCGCAGTGGCTTGAGCGTCTGCTCTAAAATCGCGAAGAAAGAAGACGTGGAGACCGGTCCGTCGGATAACACCATATAAATCAAGATTGCGTGCCGCAGTAGGTGTTGACATAAAAAGGATCTCTCCCTGCTTAATGCCCCTGATTGCCAAGTATCAGACAAAAATTTGCAGCTCCGCATCGGCAAGCGGTGACATCACTTATATGAGTAAAAATTCTCGAGGGGAACGTTAAACATACAGATAATCTGAAGTTTTGAAATTCAATATAGACTGATGATACAAAATAATTTGATTGTTTGAAGTCCTACAATATTTTTTCATTGACATATATGTTTGATTCCTTTTTTACGCTTTCTACGAAACGCTGAAAAACTCTGTTCTTTTTGTGGTCTTAGATTTTTTGCGTTTTTCCTTGCTTTTATGTGTATTTACTTTTTGTAAATAATACATTGACTTGTAATTTTCATGATACTTAATTTTGTCCTGTTTTGGAAAAAATGCGTAAAATTTGATGATTTCATCACAACCGAGCAGCAGAACACTCGTCATTAAATACATTTAACTTAAAAGAGATCTGCTCCTTGTATTGGGGATATAGAGAACGTTAATGAAAACGGAAAATATGGCGGATTATGCCTATTTACAAGTAGTGTTCAGCTTTCAATTGTTCGTTTTAATTGTTTCGTGTAAGGGTTGATACATTAATTTTGACGCAAATTGAAGTGAAGAATAGAATACTGATACACAAAAGAAACACAACTTGCAGTGATCTACAAGTATTTAAATTTTTTATCTAATGATTTTCAAAAATGAAGTCAGTAAGACTAAACTCACTTTTCAAAACATTAATAAATTTGATAAATATGTTAAATGATCAAGTTTTGAATTTTTTAAAGTACCATATGCCTGTTTGAACACCTCAATTAAAGCGTACAAGACTGCTCAACCAAACAGTTGCAGCTTACGATACAATAAGTTCATCATTTTAGTGATATGAGCAAAGGAAATATTCTTTCCCATTTTAATGAGGCTAGGGGGTGGCAGCCATTTTTAGACTATTTCAATCTCCTTTAAAAGGAGAGCTCCATATAAAGATATACAAAATGATGAAATTCTAAAACTAAAATATATGAATTTTTTCTTTGTCAAATGATAGTTGACAGCTAAAGATACCGTGTGTAAAAAAATAATTTTAATCTGGTGGTTAATTTGGGATTAATTTGTTGACCCTCCAGCCTCCTTAAATGCCTGTTTTTCAGTTAATAAGGTCGAATTTTCTCAAACCTAAGGCAGTGTAGAAACACTTGAACTTCCGGTCCACAGACTGTCATTAATGCATATGATACGTTAGAGCCTGTTTTTTTGCATCAATAACTCTTTATCACCTTTATTTTTGGATTTTCCAGCTAAAGCAATTGAGATACGTATTTATGTTATTTTCAGTAAGCTTTAGCATCGCTACGAGAAACGAAAGGATTTTTTTAAAATATTGCTGCATTCTTTATGTTGAACAGTTACAAACCCTAGAAACTCTATTTTATTGCCAAGTGTTTTGTTAAACATATGCAATTTTTATATTTCTTTTAAGCAGTCCTAAACCTAACTTTCGGAAATAGTTCGAAATTCATTAAATCGTACTATCGATATTTAGAAAATTGAAGATATGAATACTTTTAAGATACAAAACTCCTCACTATATATCATTGTTCTCCTCTTAAATATGATGTTACGTTTCTTTTGCGTGTCAGTATAAAATCAAGGTCATTTAACAGGTTACATTATAATAATAAATAATTAATGATAGTTTTAAATAACACCAAAAAGTGAACCATTCTACATAAACTGATGTTTGATAAAAATATATTAAGTATTTTCTTCAAAAATGAACTTAACAATTGATTGATTGATTTTCCTTTATCTTCCCTCTCCAGATTTTTTTCACTCATATAAAGACTTGCAGATGGAGAGATGCAAATTTCGTCCTATACTTGGCACTAAGGGTCATTAAGCATGGAGGTATCTTGTTGTGCTTGCGCCTTCTGCGACACGGGACCTCGATTTATACGGTCTCATTCGAAGAAACAGCATCCACGTCCAAAAGAGGGACTAGAACCCTCGACGTGAGGATCAACTCCTTATTTCGCGACTCTAGAGTGGATGCTCTAACGAAGATTCGTCAGACGGATAAGTTAACACAGTTTCTGTGTCCAGTTTCTTTGAATATCATGCCATGCAGAATCGTTTATGAGACACATTACATGTATATATATAATTCATTTCTATAGCTAATGAGTAATTTTGCGATCTTGTAGACGTGCAATTTAATTATTTAATAAAACATGCTTGTTTAATTTCACCCGTGCGTATCACTCAGTCATTACCTTTAATCACGACATTTACTTAGTAAACAGGGTAACGACAATTAATTTATTTTAATTTTATAATTAAAAGTTCAACATTTTTACAACGTTAAAATGTTGTTTTCTGATTTAGACCCGGAAATAAAAAAAATAAATGCGTAGCATTATTTTTACTTCAAGGCAGGTTCAGGTGTTTCGTTATTATGCATTCAGGATCAAAATCGACACAATTCTCTGTCGATATGTGCGATATACATCGCAGGTCCTAATTGAGCGTACGTTTTATCCTCCTCCATATACATTACAGACTTTAATATTATGCTACAAAGACAGGAAATAGCAGTTCAAACAATGTTAACCTACAGAAAAAAGGTTTGCAAGTACTGTTTAAGTTACTTATGGATTTTCTTCAAACTCAAATTCAAACTGAGCAAATCGCGATCTTTTCCGACCGCAATTTTAACCTGCTATATAGTAATCAAGAACGCTTTTTTCAGGCACTTTTTAAGATATCATTGCTGCATAAATAGGAAGAATATTGTAAAACTTGATATTTTTATGACAGTAGCTATTGTTGGTGCCTACAGAGAATGGGTGTTATAAACTAAAAACATATTAATTATGTAATTATGGAGAAATTGGCAAATGCTTTCAATGAACTGCGACAACTCCGAGGTGTTTGTCAGTTGTTCATGGCGTGATTGCAATGATGTTTTGAAAATCTAATGAAAACATTATGGTTTATAATTAAAATTTAACTGAAGATCTACCCAAAAAAATTATATAATCTTTAGAGTTTCAGCAGCTGACAAAATTCTCATAAAACAAAGACTAGTTTCTATCCTCTATTTACAAGGGTTTAACCAATCGACAAAAAAAGTGTATTAAAATCTTTTTACGGTGTTAATAATATAATTATAATTTTACTTGCTTTTTTTGTTCATTTTTTATTCTTAAAAAGGAAGTAGAGCAAGCCATTCTTTAATTATGTACAAGAATATATTATTCTGCAGTGTGCTTACGTCACGTAATGAACTATTTTAATAACTTCATACTTACACATATATGAATATATTTGTTCTCTGCATGATTATATAATAGAGAGCTTCCACAAATATATTTATCTATATCAAAGTGGTATACTACTAAGATCACCTCTAACATTCCAGGGTATTGTTTCTGACCGTTCCAGTCTCAGCTGTCTTATTTCCAGTAAATGTTCCAAAAGAAGCTCTCGCTCTGAGTCATCGATTGTGGTGACCATTAAAGTTTTAGCTTCGTTTAGTAATACAGCACCTCCAAGTCTTCCAATAGCCTAAAATGATTCCAAACATGTATATAATGTGGATTATACACGAGTCTTCTAAATTAGAAACAAAGGTAAATAGCAAGGCAGGGTTTCAGGAGAAAAAAGGTTTGATACATAGTTTTTTCCATTTAAAAAAACAGTTATTGAGAGTGATCTCCCGATTGGAATTCTCTAGGCGTTGGAAGTAAATAAAGTGTTTACAGAGGTAAACAAAAGCACATGACTTGTGTTTTTTAACGGATAGAATCAACTACAATATAAGAAAAAAATTCAGTGATAGTTTGTTTTACATTGTGTAAACAAAAAGGGCAGACAATCAAAATGTCCTCATTTACCATAGTTATGCTGGGAAGAGCACAGATGCGACATGTGCTAAAAGTTACGAAAGCTAGACTGGTAACCGGATAAGAACAGTTCTATAAGTCATGTTTAATAACTAATAAAATTTATAATAATTCAATGCAAATATATTTATGACAATTTGTTTCCAATAACGAAAATTACATGATAGAAACTCTTAATCATTGTGTATAATAATTAGATGTTAAGGGAAGCAACTCAAAATTAACAAACAGTGCTGGAATTTCTTTGTTTTGTCTCTATATTTTGCAGTTTCAGCCAAATTTATACATGTCTATGAAAAAGATGAGTTTTAGAAAAATCGTATGGTTAAAAGTTATGTAGTTTTTTTATCATCATTTTAAATAGGAAATACATTGACTCTGATTAAGAATATAGAAAGCATTATTTAGATAATATCTAAAAAGGAAGGCTTGCTTGGTGTGTTAAATGAACCAGAATTAAACATGTTTGGTACCATTAAACATTTCCAAAATTTTTGAAAAATTCTATACTAGAGCCAATGTCCTTAAATTGATTGTGCAATTCTCAGTTACGCTTTGACTTTCAGTAAGGCGTTGCATTCTCAACGGCATGTCTCTTAAATGGTGACCGATTCTCATTGGTTAAGAAATTAATGACCTCAGCAACTTGACATTATTGTTGACAACAATGATATGACTTAAGCCCACCTCTTTAATGTACGAAACATTTTATCGGTTCCTAGATACACTCGGTGAAATTCATCCGATTTTTGTACTATGTATATTTCATCAGTGATTTGAAAAGCTATGTAAATTTTAGTTTGTCATGCTATGTAATTTGGCCGAATTTCAAATCAATTTTGAAAAAAATACCATCAGAACACACTCTAGCTTTGTAGTTCAAATGTACTAAAATAGGGATGCTGGAGTATACATTGTATGTATGTGTATGCAATATCAATAGGAATTTGTTTATTGGAAATCATCACGTAGATCCACACGTTGGCCCCTCTTATAAATAAAAAAAAATGAATTGACACCATTCTTGTTGTCTGTTTTGTTAAGATAAACTAGCAACATTCATCATTTGGGAGACAAAGCGTCAAAATTCCTAACTGAATGTTCAAGTATAACTGAGAATTTTACGATCTCTTTTTTTTACTGGAGAGCTATTTGCATCATATCCGATTATTAAATTTCTTTATTTCGTTTTTTTTAATAATGCATATTTTTTTATAGAAAAAAGTTAAATATAGACAAATAGTACTTTTTTTTGTTTGTTTTTTTTTTTGTGTTCTACAATAGATAATTGACTTTTCATTCCCGGCCACTGCTTACTCACTGTTATATCCATTCATAGAATTATATATTATTTCAGAGATTGTTGTGCTTTTCTCATTATTTGGTTTATTTTAGAAGAACTACTGATATGAGAATAGGAACACTAAGGGTAAAACAAGGTCGTACAAATAAATTCTAAATAGACTATTGAATTATATAAAAGTAGTTTCGCTTACCCCCTCTATATCTGTCCAGCTAGTATGAAATTCATTTGCGTTCATCCTTGCGTCTGTTGAATGGGCCACAGTTTTTCTGTAGAACTTGATTCTTGCTAAGTCAGCCCCAGTACTGACATCTGATGGATTGGGTAGAACATCAAATCCTCCTGCTGGTGCTGTTGTAGAGGGACTCATGTTCCGTAAAAGGCAGATTAAAAGTGTAACATCAAAGTCATTTGACACAGGATTGTTAACTAAAACAATTGAAAATGAGGTAATAAATATTTAAATCAAAGAGTAGTCTGTTTCTAAAAAAACATCATCAGTAAGGACAGATGATACAAATGAAACAATTGATGTTTATGTTGATACATATTTTAACCTATTTTAAATGATACGAAAAATGAATTTTTAAATTGTAGACTTTATACAATGTTCAATATTCTGCCTTATTACATTCACCCCTAAACTTTTGTAAATCTTAACAATTTATCACCTTTTAGGGCACAATTTTATTTTTTTAATGAAATCAATAGGGTTATTCATTTTGCATAGTAAAACATGGATTGCTTGATTAAAAATATATTGTTTAATGTCCCTCTCGTGATTTTTTCACTCATATGGAGACACCATCAATTGCCGCTGGAGAGCTGCAAATTTTGACATATACTCGGCATTCAAGGCAATTGCGCAGGGGGGATCTTTTTGTGCCAGCACTTTCTGCAACAATGGACTTTGGTTTATACGGTTTCATCTGAAGGACCGGCCCCATCCCTTGGTGGGATTCAAACCCCACTCTAGGAAAGCTGGTGACTGGAATATATATTACAGTCATCAAAATTTGTCGGCCGAGCCGATCGATTATAAATTTTCGACGGTGATTACAAACATTACTTAAAAAACTGGACACAGAACATCTCAAACCGTACCATGGCAGCATACAATTCCTCAATATAAAACAAAGGATAATGATGTATCTCAGTGAAGTCTACTTGCATGCACATTGTATTAGAGTCAGACTAAAACTGCTCAAAAACCAATATACAGAATTGTGTATCTCAGAATAGTCTACTTGTGTGTCAAGTTATATTGAAATCAGACTAAAACTGTAAAAGTAATAGGATATTGAGTGTTTCACAGAAATTTATAGGTTGAGTAACAAGGGCAATACCGTTCATCGAAATCAATAGACAATACAAAGAGTTGTGTATCTTTGTGTAGTCTACTTGTGTGCCAAGTTATATTGAAATCAGAACAGACTGAAATCATAATCAAAACTGTAAGAGGAGTAATATTTAAAAGAAAAATGATTGCAGACAGACATCTTTCTATGGCATAAGCCCTTCTGGTTTCTGACGGGTCGAGCTAAAACAGAGAGAATTTTTAAATAAAAGCAAACGAAATTATTAAATTAAAAAAAAACGAAATAAAATACAGAGTTTCTAAATGATCATATATTTAATATTTAATTTAGGTAGATCTGTTACAACGCGAAATGTAATAACAACGCAAAATGTAATAAACCTGGATTATTACATTCTGCCTTATTACATTTTGCGTCGAATTCAACGCAGAAAGTGATAACGCAAAATATAAAAACACACTTTTCGAAACACACGTCGAGATGAACGCAAAATGTAATACCTAAAAATGTAATAATCCCATTTTTTTTTAATATTTAACGTTGTTTTTACATTTCACATTGTAACATAGTTGTTGTATTTTTGCCCTCTTTTATTTCATTACTAACATATAACAACAATTGAAATCTCTCTCTCACTCTCTCTCTCTCAATGGCCGTGTAGTAATAGCATAAAATTTGCAGGTCCCCAACGGTAAGTGGTTGCGTCTCAAATAATGCATAGGAATGAAAACTTCTTTAGCTGGTCTTAAAACATCAAACAAACAAAAACAACATTTCATGCCTTCAACTTTACCTCCGAAAAGTGTGTTCCACTGGACCTGGTTTATGACTTTTCTAGCCCTTAAGCTAGTCAGAGTCGGCCTCTCTGATGCTAGATCAGCAGCTAGGTTACATGGAGGATGGATTGTATCAAAATAGACCCTCACAGCTTTTGGTGCTCTCTTCAGGACCAAGTTTACAAATCGCAGAAAGTTGGTTTCCTCGGGTGACACAATCGAGGTTGTGCCTGTGATCAGACTTGTTGTACACCGGTGTACATTGAGAGTAGATAAAGCCATAATGTACTGTTAGCTTCTTGTTGAATACTCTGATAGTAATATCTATTTCATCTAAAATTAAAGAAAACCCCTCAAAAGCAATTTTTTCCATGAAAAAATGTTGTTTGAAATATATATAGTACATGGAGATAGCGAACAGTTTTCAATATAGAATTTTATAAAACAATACAAATAGGAGCAGAGCAAACACGGATCTCAAAAACATTAGAGGTGGGATCAGGTGCCATGGAAGAGTCATCGAGCATCCCCAGTAACATCCGCCGTGCGCTCCTTGGCATGATCGGGAAATAACGGAAAATTCATCGTCAATTCAGTGTATTAAGAAATAAATTTAATTTTTGAAGATTCATGAGGTTATGAACTGAGAACGTTTCAGGCCGCATATTTTATATAGTGCGTTAGCGCTTCATGATAAATATGCCGGTGTGAAGCGTTGTACTTCATATGCCTCATGAATCTTTAAAAATTAAATTCATTTCTTAAATTTATATTATTTTTTTGATGAGCTGCCTTAAATTTACTTCATGGAGTTTTTATTTTTAAAGCAAAACACCATGCGCTGAATTTTTGACGTCGAGTGCAGTATTATGACTAAACAATGGAGATATTCATGCTCATTCATGGTAGTAAAGGATCGAGAAAATGAACTGTATTTTATATTGTAAAGAATCACAGGAGAAATTTATTGGAAATGTATAATATTAAATAATGGACTAGCAATTTGTATGAAAAACGTCAGCAAGCATTTGACTCAATGATAGTATTTGATGACAAGGTCATTGTATCGACCAAAGAACTTACGAAATGATGACTTTAAACAAAACTGCTAATTTTCCTGTTTCGTCCATTTGTTTGTCAGAGTTTTCCACGTTTTAGAAATTGTACATACATAGAGTATGCCCTTGCGTATCTGATTTACTAAAAGATATAAACTCCGTTATGCAAAATATCTCACGTTTCCAACTAACGTTGATGCTCAGGCATATCCAACAAATTAGACAGTGGTTCCTTAAGAATGTACTTTCAGTCATGCAGTTTGAAAAAGCATATAAAGTGTTAAATAGAGCTTTTATGAAAAGCTTTACTTTATCCGACGGGTAATCCTCACTTCAGGTTTGAGATAAAGATTCAGGTGTACCTACATATCTCGATTCATCATTATCTGTATGACACTCTTTTTCCCCCTTTCAAAGTTCGTTTCTGCTCAGTTTGGTGGACAAGAAAAACTTTTACCTTGCATACCTGTATTTGATATGCTCAAATGTCAGCTCTCTGTCAAATACATGTGACCTAATTTAATTACCGACCGTTTACGGGAAATATAAAAATATACAAGGTATGTGTACATAGGTACACAAACAAGTTTACGATAGTTGTCGACAAATACAATTAATCAGTAGGTTGAATGCTGACTGATGTTTTACATACTAATTGTTAGGCCATTATCTAATCACTAAATGATCTGTGGATTTGTTTTGTTCGCCCGCGCGATCAGGATAATGAACATATTGTTTATGTAACATGTCTTTGGGGAAAGCTTCCTCCTGCATGATACCTGATACACCTCTTACGTTTGAAGAAATCATGTTTGCTTTGTTCCCTATTGATAAAGGAAGGCCAATATTTATACAGATCCAGTTTAAATTTTATAAACCTATTATGAAACTCCGATTATAACTTGTCTGTTGATAGGATTTTCTCACATGATGGGTTAACTATATAGCAACCATTTCAGTTTTCATTATAGCGTCATTGTGCATATTTGGCACCCTGCCTGTTGGATCTTTAAGCCATTTTATACACACAGAGAGACAAAGACATTAAAATTGCATGTATGGACCAAAATTTTACGTATTTTCATGTAAATTGACTTAAAATCTATGCTAATTGATTTTAAGACTTCACTATGTTTTAATACCAGGGTTGTTCGGAAATTATTGAGACAATTACAGTTACTGTATAAAGGATGGAGATATGTTCATAAAAATTCATCAACATTTCATAAAGAACAAATAAAACATGATATGTTTTGGTGAAATAAGAAACATGCATATGTCTTTCGACCCGAAGTAGCATCTCTACGTCATTTAACGTCACGTCAGCCGTAGATATCTTCGCATGTGAAGCGATCCAGAAGATTTTAATACTCTTCCTTCTTTGTTATTACATATAACATTACAAAAAGCAAACACCGTCTTTTCTTAAACTATTCTTAAAATGTATGCTGTTGCCACGCAAGTGAAAAAATTTCATTTGTGGGAAAGGATGCAGTGTTGATTTATTCAACGCCGTTTGAATACCGTAAGGATATCATTACCGTACATAGTACATGTAATAACTCATGGTCGTCTAGAGCTTTTAATTTTACTCTTGTTAAATTAACTGTTGAAAAAAAGAGTATACCAATGAAATATCAAACTATTACACATTATTTTTTTCTCGTTGTTATTGTTTAAGCAGGCTGTTAAGTCTGGAAAAGAGTTCTACATTGCGCTACACAAATTTAAGGTATGCTGGCTGCTCCGCCCTTGACGTGAAAATCCATTTTGTGGTTGTAAGCAGATTTCTCTACTGCGCTTAATTTTGTACGAACTCCGTATTTCTGATTAAAATTCTATCAAAGTTGAAAAACATGAATTGGAAATAAAGCTGAAAAACTATACACTTAAATTGAAGTATTTTGCTCTTATTATGGATCCACGAAGAGTTTGAACGTTGGTGTTGCATATTTTCCATATCTGATTTCGTGACTGCTCCGATACCCCTATTATTGACACATTTATATGTCATTGTAGAGAAAATAGTTACAATTTGTAAAATATTTCTTGTTTATAATAATTCTAAGTGTATGTGCAAATTTTCACAGAAAGACCTTCATCAGAGAGCAAAGCATACACAATGTCTCAATAATTTTCGAGCAGCCCTCGTAATTTACTTTTTCCTATTTTTACACAGAATGATAGTAAAAAATGACATCTTCAAGATGCGGGTATATACGGAAGCCTGTTAGTGTCAGGTGAAAAAAAATCATCTGACCACTGCCATTTTTTATGTATTTATTTGGCGGCCGCCAGAGAAAAAAAATTTTTTTTTGCCTTTTTTTGGGGTTGGGGGGGCACAATACATGAACAAGTTTCCGTAGGTATACATATTCAAAAGATTGTTTGATAAAATACATCTGGTAAAAATAAAGTATATTTTTTGTTAACCTTAGATAAATGTCTAAAAACTTCTTTTTTCCTAAACGGCATATATACATTTTAGAGTGTAGGAATTAATTATTAATATGTTTTTTGTGATGTATTTGGACGTGGGTAGATTTAATATCATTATTTGCTTATCATTCCCTGAGCAAATTGCCAAAATCTTTGTTATCGATTGAATATTTCTTATTCTAATTTAATTCTGACGTGTTTTGTGCACAACTGGATAAAATAAGAGACTTAACCCATCTATGTTAAATATGGGTTGTTGAATTTTGAAAGATATTTACTTAGTATAGCTTTGACATGTTCTAGCTTTATGAAATTATGCATACAAATGTATGTCTCGAAAGGGAGTTTTAATTTGATTATGAGTTAAGGAAAGTATTCTAATGGATTTTTTTTAGCTTGACAGGACCTACCTTAAATGGACTTTTTAAAGTTCAGTCACTGTATTTCATTGTATTACAAGAACGGTACAAACATAGGGTCAGGTATATTCTGCCATCAGGCTACATAATATTATTGCCTACCTGGTTCATCAGGACTGCTCATCAACTCCACAACTGCCAGGAAATACAAAACTTCTCACATATCACGTTTAGCCACCTTATGCTGGCTACTGTTGTTTTCACATTCAATCGTTGTTCAATATATTGACCAATTTAGCTAACAATTTTTATTTTATATTAGATTAAACAAAACTATATCTGCCGGAGGACGAGATATAAGGTGATTTTTTGATAACCGTTTATTTAGTTTGAGTATGCCCTCTGCCTGCTAGACACGAGTTTATATTTATAGTTTATCATGTGATGGATGATTTACATTCACAGCATGTTAACAAGACCCCAGCATACATATTTGACTTAACAATAGAAAATACTATGAGTTGAAAACAAGATAATTGTAGTAACCATAAAATTATTGATGTTGACATGAATTGAAATATTTTTATATATCCTTGTATCATAAATTTATCTGTCCCTCCTTAGAAATTGGTTGTAAGAAGAAGATGATCTTGTGTGTAGAATCAACATATGTTCCATTTATTCAGGTAATAATGACTTATTACTTGCTACATAGATAAGATGAATCAACAATACAGAAGAAGAATTCATTAAGTTTATCATTAAGGTGATTTTTTTTTGCCATCCGTGTCTTTTTTTCTACTGAAACGTCAACAAATGAAACAGATGTTTCAGATTGCGTCTTTTTTTTTTCAAGATAATTGTCAGTAACATATACCTGATAATATATCCAGTAGTACTTCGAGTTCGTTGCAAATATTGTAAATATCTCAAACATCAGTTAAATACATAGAGGATTCATTTTGTAAATTATGCATTATATTCGTAAAATATATATTTTAAAAAAATATATTATACGTATACAAGTTCAGTTAAGTTTCATCTAATCGAATAGCCTTTAATGTTTATTTTAAAATGCTAGTGACCTGATCAACTCTGCTACAGGAATTCACGTAAGTGATCGTTTAAAAATATTATGATGCATTGGAATAAGATGAACGTTTTATTACATAATTATTTATAATCCCTTACATTTTGATATAAAATACACAACTGCAAACATTCTTAAAATATTTATCCTAGTAAGAAACATGACAAGAACCCCATTTGAGGTTTCAACTGTTGGTTCTTTTATAAAGATTCCTTTAATCCAACTTACAGGTGCTTAATTCCAAACTTCTTTAAGCTAATTAAACTTCTTTAACTTAACTTCTTTAATCTTTTACACATTTAGCGCCAAGATAACATATTCTAAAATTTATTTTCACCTGTAAACCTTTACTGAATGTGATTTGTCTATATCTGTTTTTTTCATTGAAATATTACTAATATTTTCGAAGTCTTTTTCATATTCCAGTTCTTCGGAGAAAAAATTCTAAGAACCATCCACTTTTCTAAACTTGTGACATGATATTTAATCTTTTTCAAAGAAAAAATTTGTTTGTATCATCTGTCCTTAACTCGTAATTTTGTCTCGATCGCCATTTCTATATTAAATTTTTGTAAACATGCATAAATTTGGGCACTAAAAACAAAGTTATCTATCAGCCACAGTGACTTGCTCCCGGTGTCTAATAATTATTTAAAAAAAAACATTTACAGTAAAAATAAAACAAGACATGTTTTATCATTACCGTATAGATATATTTTTTTTTCAATAAATAGTTATTACATGCGTTGTTTTTATTATTTATGTATATGAATTTTTTAAAATAGATAATTACTACACACCTGGTGTTAGCCCCTGTTATATATCCTAGTTTCTCATAACCGAAAATCTAGTTCTTAAAATTATCTTTATCCATAAACACAAAAAATATATTACTTTGTAAACAAGAGGCCCAAGGGCTTTATAGGTCACCTGAGTATTTTGTAACAACTTTAATTTAATTGGGTTTGTGAATAATACCCAGAGGTAGATCAGAGTAACAAAGAGAAAATACACTTCCACTTTTGATATCACCATTTGTGCACCCCAAAAATTTTGGAAATTTTATCATATTAAATTTTATTTCATCATAAATAGTTGATTAATACCAAAGAACAGATTACAAAGCATTAATTTATTTTCAGAATATGTAACCCTTCTCCCTTCCGATAACATTAATGCAGGGACCATGAAATTAACCATTTTGCACCTTTCTTCATCTTAAATATATAAACTTGGATCATTAGCACAATATCCAGGAGCAAAGAAGAAGATTTTCACAAGAATTAATATATTTTAATTATATAATCAAAAGAGCCCCATTGTGTATTCCTCAGGTGCGTCAAATGGTGCAATAAGATTTGTGGACAAGCTCGTCGTCATCAAATTGCACGTGTTTTGGGTTTTTCAGCGTTTTTCCTAGGTGACATCATACAGTTTACGGCTGAGTTACTCTGAACATTGATTATATGGTGCAGAGTAACTTAATTTCTCATCTGACCAATATTCGCAATTTTCGGCCATGTGGTCAATTTTTTTTTTCAAATATTATCCTACCCTCGTTTCTTTTTTCCTTTCAATATAGTATATTACATGACCAAAATTTTAAAGAGATGTCAGAGATCAGCGATGAAAAATTGTAATAACTACGATGCATTGAAGATAATCAGTAAACTTTCATTTGCATGTCAATTTGTTCAGATGGTTTTTTAAGTAATATTAAATTGATGATCAACAACCTTTGAGAAATTGTACATGTTAATGACTTCTTAATTAACATTTAGGAGATCATATTGGAAAAAAAAACAATGCGTATGCATTTAATACATGAAATTTCCATTATTTATATGGAATGATTTAGTATTCTTATATAACGTTTAAATTAAAAGTCGCCCACGTGGCTCAGTGGGTAGAATGTCTGCTCTACAGTCGTGAAGTAAGAAGTCGGATTTGATCCCGCGATGTAAGGATTATGTCGCGGTTTCAAATTCGACTTTGGAACGTGGAAACCAGTCGTTCTCAGAGGTAGAAACGGAGGTCCTGTGTCACTGTAGGTGCTGACACGAAGAAGAACCATCCCTGCTCAAGGGCACTGAGTGCTTGGTAAAGGGGAAACTTTGCAGCTTTTCACCAGCGAGTTGTGGCATATCTATGTGAGTGAAAAATTCTCGAGAGGAACGTTAAACAATATAACATCAATCTAATTTTTTTAAAAAAAAATTGAGGGTCATTTTGGTATTAAAACTGTACCTTGCTTTTTAAGCTCACAGGTTTGGGAATAAGGGAAAGCCACCGGCCAAGATTAAAGAAAAATGGGCAGGCTACACACTAACTACACCTCTCCAAAAAGTCAAATGGCGATATGAAAACAATCTTTCTTTCTGTGTTAAAAGCTTCATAAATGAGAAAAGAATTAAATTGATAACACGACCAGCATGTACTAGTCCTAGCTGACAAACCAGATAATAACATTACTCTTTGTTTTGAAGGTTTATTATTTTAATTGTGTTTTAGAGAACCCGAAATTCTATAATAAATTATTGTAAATCAAACTTATACCCATATCTCTCTCTTTTGGAGTAAATTCTTCTGAGTCACATCTCCGTTTTAAATATTTATGATATTCCGAACAATAAAAATAGTCTCCCACGTTGCGCAGTGGTTAGATTGTCAGCTCTAGAGTCGCAAAGAAAAATTTGCAGCACTCCAACTGCAAGTGATAGTGTCATTCTAATTTTTACGTTTTCTGATGCTCTGTAATGCCTCAAAAGATATTCTGTATCCAAAAAAAGCAAAGAAACACAAGGTATTACGTATAAAAATGACTTTTATTGTAAGTAACGGTATATATTTCAACTGATATATAAATAATGCAAAATGAATGTTAACACTATTTTTCATTGAAAAAAAGATGTCTTTAAATTATTACGAAACATTTATCAACAAAGAATGAAAATAACATTCGAATATCAAATTTACAATCCAATATTCGAACAATTATTTGAAAAATTGCTAGAAAAAGTATCAAAGAATCAAATTCCAATTAAGGGAAAATACACCGAATTAAGTACTGTAAATCACGTTTTATTCGCGAGAGCTTTATTTCTGCGTAATTTCGCGAGACACTGAGCTCGCCAAAATTCATTCTCGCGTTTAAAAGTATTCCTTTAGATTATATAAAGAGGAAAAACACGATTCGTGAAAAATATGTCTCGCTTAAAATGAGATTATGATTATCTCGCGAAAAAAAAATTGTCGCAAAAATTTAATAATCTACAGTACATACTAAGTATATGATTTGAACATATTTTTATCGTCTGTACTTTACAATTGGGATCAGGCAAAGCTTTTAAACCTTAAGACGCACTTTCCCTACATATATTTTATTCCAAATACCAATTTGTCATATTGGTATAATACATGTATAAACTGAATAAATACATGTCCTTTATAAGCAATTATAAACATATTAATGATAAAGATGACAAAAAACATTAAAGAAATCGACATAAATTACTCAGCACATTGTCATTTGGAAATGTATTCAACTAAATTTTGCTACTGTAAAATTAACATCATTTAAAGCTGTCCAAGCAAACAAATATAGTTGATATATGATTTGATTTCTACGCAAATAATTCATTTAACTCATTAGGACCCATTCCACAAAATATACTCTTTAAAAAAAAAATTACATGCCACGGTCGAATGTCTCATTTAGTAATAAAATATGTGTCCGTGTTAGTACAACATGTACGTGCAAAACTATTCTTTTAGTTACATTAAGTACATATTTAAGCAAAGGGTAGATAAAGTATAACTATTAAGTTTTTTTCTTGTATGAGATTCTCGTACATTACAAACGCAGACTTTTTCTGTTTTTATTTTACACATTTTAAACATCTGGTTAAAGGACATAGAATTGTTATTCTTTGTAATAATCTAACTACGTAAATTACATGTAAATATACGTATTAATTTGATTTCTCATCATTGTGTGATGCAGATCTGACGGTAAGATGACGTTCAAGGATTTCTGCAGTTTTCTGAAAGTCACAAGCTTTAGCATAATGTAGAACATCTCGACCAGATTTGTCCTTAATTTCAATATCTGCCCCAAAAGCTATTAGTGTTGAGATGTTGGTTGGATTCTGAACTGCATAATGAAGGGGTGTACACCCTGCTAAATTTTTCTCATTTATAAACTCTTTCACCGAACATCTATCAATCAGTAATGTACAATTTGCAAATAAAGAGATATAATGTAAGAACGTATTTCCAATAATATCTCTGAGGGACATGAAAGTCAAATAACTATTCAATTCATAATTTTCTATTTCAAACATTCTATAGATTAAACGATTTTTGCTCTCTCCTAAAAATATAATTGGCCAAATCTCGAATGACCATAGACTAATAAAGCTTAAAAAATCACCATCTGAACTATCTAAATGATCACAAAAAGATTTCAATTTCTCTTCTTGTCTTACCCAGTCCTTACGGCTCTTTTCTCCACGTCGTTCTGGACAGAAACAAGGTATTGTACTTTTGTGAAGACTCCATAATTCATCAGGAAGCATTGCGAGAATGATATTGTAAAAATCGAAATACTTTCCAAGCTTCAAAACTTCTTTAACAGAATTTCTAAGTGTAGAAAGATCATAATAAGGACCTGGAAAAAGATGATTATTAAAACCCACAAAAGGACTATTATTACGACTCTCAAAACTGTCGTGCATAAGATTTCTCATACACCTGCGTACACAATCATGATTTCCATCGGACGTGTATCTTTCTAAAAACAATTCAACAATGCTTTTTAACTTATTGTATATCGCATAATCGCAGGCAAATTGTCCTTTGTTGTCAACTGCTGTAATTAACTCTGTTTTATCAAGAAGACTTCTTACCCAGCATACCTTGCTGTTTATCGTTGCCAAATGCAGAAGTGAATGGCCCTCTTTATTTCTGTACTTACTCATTGTACATCCATATTTGCCCAGAAGCTTACTTATACCCTTTTCATTTGTAAACGATTGTAACAGACACATATAGTTTTTTTCATTTAAATATGCTCCCTTTTCAAACAGTACATCACAAATGTCATAGCGATGGTTTTTAGTTGCTATGGTTAAAGCGTTTAATCCTTCACTTATTTCTATATTAATATCAGCCTCAGTATTCAATAATATAACAACGGCATCCTTGTAATTTTGGCCACAGCCCAATATCAGTGGTGTACAACCATCATTATCTCTTGCATTAACATTTGCTCCTTTGAATATCAGGAAGGAAATAACATCTCGATGTTCATGCTTTACTGCAATGTGTAATGAGGTAGACCCAGTCTTGTCTGGAATATTAACATTTGCACCATGTGTAACCAGTGTTGTCACAATCTCCAAATTTCCAATTACACAAGCTAAATGAAGCGGACTGGAACCATGTTCATCTGTAGTATTGACGTTTCCTCACCCCGTGGGGATCCGGGTTAGAATAGGTCCTCAGTACCCCCTTGCTTGTCGTAAAAGGCGACTAAATGGGGCGGTCCTTCGGATGAGACCGTATAAACCGAGGCCCCGTGTCACAGCAGGTGTGGCACGATAAAGATCCCTCCCTGCTCAAAGGCCGTAAGTGCCGAGCATAGGCCCAAATTTGCAGCCCTTCACCGGCAATGGTGACGTCTCCATATCAGTGAAATATTCTGGAGAGGGACGTTAAACAGTATACAATCAATCAATCAATCAATCCTCTATTCTTAATAATCAGTTGTACTGGAAGGACATTACATCTTTGGCAAGCTATATGCAAAGGTGTGCAATCATCTTTTTCGATTGAATTTACATTTACTTCACTTTGAATGAGTGTTTTGTCAATTACCGGTAAATTTCTGGAACAGGCTTTGTGTAATGATGAACAGCCATAGATATCAGCCGCGTTTAGATCGATATTATTTTCAATAAGAACATCTGTGATTCTTTTAATCTTCCTTAAGATTTCCTCGTCCACTTTCCTCGTAAAGTATCCGCAAGAATCTGGTGCCCTTAAAGCATGATGAAGAGCCGTTCTCCCTTTGTCATCAACTGCATTTATATCTGCCTTGTGTTCTAGAAGAACTGATAAACATTTTTCCGATAAATATTTTGCTGCAAAATGAAGATGAGTTTGTTTATTGTCTGATGTAATATTTGCAACTGCTCCTTTTGAGAAAAGATAATCAACAAGTTCTGAATTATCATGTACACAGCTATTGTGAAGAGGTGTAAGACCTTGCGTATTCTGGGAATTAATCTCCACCCCGTTCTCTAAAAATGTGGAAATGATACTTTTATAACCTTTCTCGCAAGCTTTTTGCATCCCAACTTGTAGTTCTTGTTTGTTCATTCCCCTCTCTATAAACATATTCAAAATATCAAACTGTCCATCAGAGGAAATTAGAGTCAAAGGTGTATCACCTCTTTTAGAAGCTATGTTGATATCGCATCCTTTTTCAATAAGGCATTGTACAATCCCAATGTTCCCTTCGGATATAGACTTATGTAATGGTGTCAGTCCCTGAGAGTCTTGCAAATCAATTTCTGCTCCATTGTTCAAAAGGTGGTCTATAATGTCTATGAAACCATATCTGCATGCAAGGAAAATTGGCGTCTCTCCATCGTTATCTTTCAAATTAACATTAGCGTCAAAGGCAAGTAACGTTTTTATAACTTCTAAATGTCCTTCTTGACAAGCTTCATGAAGGGATGAAAATCCATCTTGGTTTCTAAAATTAGCAGATGCTCCATGTCGAAGTAAGAAGAGAACAATACTGCAATGTCCATATAAACTAGTCACCATCAATGGTGTTACTGTTTCATCAAAGAGTCGATATTCCGAAATGAAATCCCTTTCTGAACAAACTTTGATTTGGATAAGATATTCCAGAATTCCTAGATTACCAAAAATACAAACAAGTAGAGGGAAAGGAACTTGTGAAACTGGGCAGTACAATTTATGTCCTACATCCCTCGGGTTTCTATCACAAAACAAACAGAAAATGTCATGTTCCATTACAAAATTCATGAATTCAACAAGGCTGTCAAAAATCTCACTATAATAATGGAAACACCTTTTCACAATCTGGATATTTCCACTTAACACAGCTAAATAGATAGTACTTGCTCGTTGAGTAAACATTATTTCTGACAAAACTTCATTCTGTGTTTCAAAAAGTTTTTCCAAAAAAGTTGCCCAATTCCACAAAATTGTTAAATGAAGAAATGTAAGTCGACCTTTTTTCAAAAAATGTTCTTTGGAAAGAAAGGTGTTTGCTTCAATATCACTTGAGGGATAATTATAGCTTCTTTTTGACAGTGTTTCGTTTAGAACATTTCCGTCCACTAATAAATCAAACAGACACGTTTCAATGCGAGCATTTGGCATGCAATGATTTTCAAATATATCAATGGCAATTCCTTGGTTGATATCTTTTTGTATTCTTTTAGTGTAAGATGTCAGCATGTTTGCGTCCAATTCTACAAGAAACAAATCTTGAATGTCGTCATCTTTTAATCTTCCTAGTGGCCTTAGTCTATTTTGAAATATTTCCAAAGGCGAGAATTGTATCAAAGTTTTAGGTGATTGTTTTCCAAAGTGCCACACAATGATATCCAATAGTTTTGAATGTATTAAGGAAAATGTTGGACCATCACGTTTTACATATTTTCCAATCTGTCGGTTCAGAGCTAACAGTAATTCTTTCGGATTAATATCAGCTTCGCAAGCATTGTGAATTTCATAGAGAGATTCAAAATCTTCATTTTGTTCTGCATTTGAGAGATATAGAGCAAGTTTATGCTTGGCAAGGAAACAACAAACTAGAGAACAGTATTCGTAAATGGTCCCTGGCTTAGGGTCGTCTATCAAGAGATCAAGCTTAGAAACCAATTGAATAAATGGGTTTTCAAAAAATGATGTCGAATGCTCTGGATCAGTGCACATGTTAACGTAAAATTTACAAAGTAATGGGAAACAATCAATGTGTTTTTCAAAAATCTTCATAGGGCAATGCAAGTCACGTTTTACGTGAGATTCCAAGATCTGTTTTTTCTCATTGAAAGTTAGATGATTCTCTTGGTTTTCCAAACTGAATAAGACATTGAAAAATATCTTAATTCTTCGGAATGCTCGGGTAGAACTTATCATTAAACGACATGAAATGAGAAGTTTTGACTCAACTTGATCTTTGCTTTGCTTAAAATTCAAACATTTTTTAATGTCTTCAGAATGTTTTGCCCATTCATTAGCCTGATCATTGACCGCATATTCCCCACAAGGGTCATCAACCACAAAGACTTGCGGATTTCTTCTATTGTGGTATGTCAAAATGTCTTCGGGACGGTTGATTGGTATAATAGAAAACCCTTCTCTGCCTAATTTCAAGGCGATGTGGTGAATGATAGCTGATTTTCCCGACCCTGGATGGCCAACCACAACAACGCATGGATTTTCTCTTATAAACGTTTCGACAGCTGTAGAAGGTTTTATTTCTACAAACACTTGATCCTCTTTTTCCCAGGACAAGAGTTTTTCTTCTATTAATTCTACATATGATTAAGAAAGCAAAACAAAACAAATGTAATAAAGTATTGATTACCTTTTTTTAAAAAGTATTAAATTTTGGAATTAATTATTATTCTAAATTTTTTTTTATTCTTGAAAGATTTGAATTTAGATATATCGGTCATTTCATGGAAGTGTGACACAAGATTTCAAAGTAAATATTAAGACAAAGTTATAGCTTTTTAAGTTGAAGACCACTTTACTTAAACTGGGTAGAAAATTATGTCTATTTTTTTGCAATTTATTTGCAAAAAAGTCACCTTTGACATTCCAAGGGACCGTTTCTAGCTGTTTCAACCTCAGTCGCTTTATTTCTAAAAACAATTCTCTCTCAGATTCATCAATTGGAGAAAATCTTAAAGCTTTTGTTTCATTCAGTAATGCTGAACCTCCAAGTCTTCCAATAGCCTGAAAAGATTTAATTTTCAAAGTTGTTAATACACATACCCCCTGTTTAGGAAAACAATTATGCGAATACGGATTTTGTTACGCAGTCCTACAGGTAAGTTAAACGTTGGAATATGTATTTTGTTTTTAGATTATACTTATTAAAATAATGAGGAAGGAAATATTTTCTTTTTAGAAAAAAGCAATTCCGAAAACTGTCTACCAATTGGGATAAGTTGTGGTAAATAAACGAAGTGTATTATTGATGTGATCTTCTCTGACCTACATTATTGCATTGCATTAACATTTAAAGAATCTTCTCAATACTTTACAGCAAAGAATTCTACGAAATTCTAGAAGGCTCATTCGAGGTTCAAGTTTCGAAATACAAGATTGGAAATTTGAGTTTCAAAAGTCAAGATCAAAACTAACCAATCAAAGGCGGGTTCAACATTTGATTACTCCCCTTTGTTATGTTTTTACTATCAAGAAATCGTTAAATATATTATAACAACTGGGTCATTTGCTAAAATGATAATGCAAGAAAAAAGTTTTATTACTAAAAAGAAATAAAAATAAATTTGGATTACATTTTGAAAAATTCATTTGTAATTTTATGTTTCACATTAAATAAAAATAGTAAATACATATATATGGAATATTACTGTAGAAGTGGAAAACATTACGGTGTTTTTAATTTCACTATGTTCACGATTTAAGAATTTTCCGCGAATTTTAAACCATCGCGATTATTATTTTCACGTCATTTCTACCTAGAAACAGTCATAGAACCTGAATATTTACAAATGATTCTCCGTGAAATTAAAACCACCGTGAAAGGCAACTGTTTAACAAACCGTGAAATTTTAGACACGTGAAATTAATGACGTCTACAGTATATAGTCTTATCGTTGCCTTGCAGAACAAGAAGGTCGTCTATTTTTTACCGTTAAAATTTTAACAGTTAAAATAGATAGTACTCTCTTAGTGTTCATCTGCAAAGAGCTAAAACCCTGCGTCCGCTAAAACAAATTACGCAAAAAATTATTGGAATACCTTCGAGCGGGCAAAACGCCAAAATCTACACCCGCCAAAAAAACACTATACGGTAATAGTTTTGCTTACTTCCTCAACATCTGTCCAACTTAAATTAAATTCATTTATGTTCATCTTCGCATCTGATGAATGGGCCACTTTGTTTCTGTAGAACTTGATTCGTACTAAGTCAGCCCCGGTACTGACATCTGAAGGATTAGGTAGAACATCGAATCCTCCTGCTGGTGCTGGTGTACAGGGACTCATGTTTCGTATAAGGCAGATTAACAGTGTAACATCAAAGTCTTTTGACATTGGATTGTTAGCTAAAACAATTGAAAAAAAATGGAAAGTTTAGGTTAGAGAGAGAGAAATCTTAAATCTTTTATCACTGAGATTTTAACTGACGTGGGGAGTACAAAAACATTTGCAGTTTATGCTTTCTTTAAAAAAAATGAATTTGTAATCGCAAATAAAGGGAGGTGATACAAATCTCACGATACGCTTGAAAACCCTTATCCCCTTCTTTATTTGATTACGTATTTTTAAAATTACTGATTTACCATTAAATATTATCTTTGGATTAGTGAAGGAAGTTAATTGTTTGGTATTGAAAGGAACATGTTTTAACACTTTCTTTCACACTGTCTTCACTATACCTCCAAAAAGTGCGTCCCACTGGACCTGATTTATTATTCTTCTAGATTTCAAGCTTGACAACGTAGGTCTTTGTGCTGCTAGGTCAGTGACAAGGTTATTTGGAGGATGAACTGCATCAAAATGGACCCTTAGAGCCTTTGGTGCTCTCTTCAGGACTAGATTGACAAATCGTAGGAAGTTGGTTTCTTCTGGTGACACGGTGGGCGTGGTTCCTGTGGCCGGTGCTCCTCTACACGGAGGTACAGAAGGAGTAGATGAGGCCATGATGAAGTGATGCTTAGGTTAATGTTGTTTAATATATGTTTTCACTTTGTCATAATCATGTTATTTAGGAATGCCAAGATAGTAACGTCACATTTTCTGAAAATAAAAAAATCGAAAAAAGTACACAGTTACTGGTATCTAAATGTAAAATTTTAACTTATACGGATTATGCAATTCATAACCTTATCAAAATTTGTTTAATATGTATTTTCCAACTGAGTGAAGTTTCTTTTGTACAACAAAAATCATTTTCCACTTTTGCATGACATCTAAATTTGGATATATCTACATTTTGAAGCACTCTCACATGTTCCTTTCCTTTAATTATTATTGTATTGAAAAGACAATCTGTGTCCAAAATTCCTTCAGCTGGTTTGTTAGAGCACAACCCGTTGAAAAGACGTTTTTAAATGCCTCATGTCCTTCTCCTTTAAGATCTTTTTTATTATTTTGAATGCGTGATTGTAAAGGCCTACGTGTATTACAATAATAGCATTTAAAAACAAGGTCAAGGTAAACAGCAGTCTGCTGATATGATAAAAAAACTAGATAACATGACAAATAACATGCAAATACATCAATTGATTTGCTTTTAAGGAACTTAAGGAATTTTGCAAACTGAATATTACTTACGTGTAATACTCTAAAATCCATATAATAATAAAAATAAATCTTCGTAACAGACCTGTCAATGACTGTTATTTTTCATAGTCATGTCACTCAGTTCTTATCTGAAAAATTTGAATATATCTCTTCTTCAATCACACTTATTAAGATTTTTGTAATTTTCTGATAGTAAATTAAACGTACCGAGGATAGAAATATCGTGTTGACTTTCTTCGATTCGCAGAGGTAGTTGATTTAGTCAGATAACCGCCATTCTTAAAGTCTCATTGCGCCACCTAGGCATTATACAGTAGGAAATGCAGGGGAGCAAATCAATAGCTACCACAAAACAAAATATATTTAAATTCATAAAATACACACAATTCCAACAGTATGTGCAGTCGTTCTGTCGTCATCATTGTCACTATACACGGTCAAATTCTCGATTCAGTGACTTTCGCTTCAGACTCTTCTACGCATATTTTTCGTATATAGTTTATTCTAATTTTAAGATGGATTTTTTCCTTTCTAAAAATAGCTTATCACACCCATCACTATTCTCCATTATTGTTTTCTTAATAGAATGTCATAGTGATTATGACTATGATAATAATAATATACAAATATTTACATTTCAAAATATTATCCCTTAAGATTTTTTGCAAAATAAAAAAGTTCTCAAAATTTACAGGATGAATAATTTTTTTTCAATCATTACTATTGAAGTCAAAAATCAAATTACTGAAAGAAACGAAGGACAGAGGTATGAATACATATTTTATATTGCACAGTTTCATTGCCTAAAGTTTTGTATAAACATTTTGCTGCATTAGATGAAATTAAAGTTGCTCAAAATATGGAACGATATGGCTTCCTTATGTTAGATAGTGTTATTATATGCTGTGGTTACGTTATTATGTGCTGTGGGTTTATATAAATAAACAATTATGTGTCGCAGTTGTTATTCTATGCTGTGGATTTATAATTATATGCTCTGGTTCTTTTATTATATGCTGTGGTTTCATTATTATATGTGGGTTTATAATTATATATTGTATGTCCATTATTATATATTTCGTGGTTTCATTATATAATTATATGCTGTGGCTTCAAAATTATATGCTATGGTTGTATTCTTATATGCTGTTGGCTCGTAATGATTTGTATTTCAATTTTTTTTTTCCTAAAGCCAGCATTTCAACAAATAGTTTTACCTCATTTCAGAAATGTTTCAAATTCCATTGGTAATTTTATGCTAGCGAAATATATATCACATACGGAAACGGGTCCTAGACTTAGACCAATCATATTTTCAACGATTTTGATTATTAATATTCCATTAATTTATGTAGAATACTTTTTAGGCTAAATATGAGTAAATAATTTAGGTCTGCTGTAGTTAGGGCATGGACTAAAAATAAAGAAAATATAATTGTCAATTATTGCCAATTTCTCTGCAAGCCGTTTCAACATCAGCCATTAGCTCCTCCAATTGCATCTTTATGTAAAGTCATGTTACATCATAGCTGACCAACAGGTACTCGCTGTGTGGGTGCGGAAGAAAAAAAAACACATTAAAATTTGAAATCTAAGCAATATATATGTAAATGTGTGCTCAGCTTGTATATGCACAATACAGGTAAATGTTTTTAAAATAGAGTAAATGCAGTTGATTTAAATTTTCAGTGTATCTGCCTTTTATGAGATATAATAGACCTTCTTTGAGGAATAAGAGGATAAGAATAGAATCATATTCTAATTATAGCCTTTTGTGTCATTAAACACAATAGAAAATATGAGTGATATACTCCGGTCCCCTCCTAACTAATTTTCTGGAAAAAGTATAATATTAGTTTCATTAATTGCTACTACAGTCTTTTTTTATTAGAAAACATACTGAGAACAATCTTTCTAAGTCCGAAAAACGTTTTAATAATACTTATGGTAGTCAAGTTAAGTATTTTTTGTATTGTTAATGTGTTTTCAGTTGATTTTGTATTGTTAAAATAAAAATTATGCCTACACAATTATTTAAGATATGTGCAAATTGTCCCTGCCTTAAGGATAAGCCCGATGTCCCGGAGAATAATCAAACAATTTAAATCTCCACATACATGTATTTAGCGGAATATAATGAAAGACATAAAATAACATTGTTGATAAGGATGGGTGAAAACACACGGCTGCTGTTTTTTTTTACCTGAATACAGACAACCCGCGCGTAACAAAACTTAACTTTCTGGAAAAAAGTAATATGTTATTTTCATTAAACGCTGCTATAATCTTACTTTATAGAAAACAGTTTAAGAACAATCTTTTAGGCCAGAAAACGTTTTAAAAATATTTATGGTCTTCACGTTCAGTATTTTATTGTGTTTCACATATCAGAGTTTTCACTTCTATGGGTATTGTAAACATAAAAATTATGTCTAAACAATAATTAACATATATATGCGCCATTTTCCAATCCCTTAAGAGTAATAGTTTCTTCTGAATTGTTTAACATGTTTAAGTATCTCTCAGTACTTCACGATAAGAAAAATCATCGCGTTTAAAGTTTACAAGTAGGTGAATCTACCTCCTTTTTTCATTCAAATTCGATTCGACTTCACTCGTACATACCGTTAGAACTTCTAAAATTTAGAAGTTATAGAAGTCTTTCTCAGATAAGAACAATTAAAACTACGACTTCATTTCTAAGATTAAAAATATGACTCTGTAATTGCCTATACATGTAATATAGTATATACGTTTCGATGATATTGAGGAAGTTTGGATTAATCAAAAAATAGTTATTTTCGATGACATTTTTTCTTTCATAACTTTATGTTATGGTATAAAATCTGTAACAAGGTTACAGAATCGTAGAAAGTCCGTATCGTCTGATTACATCCAAGTCCTACTCTCTATCACAAAATAAAGGGTACATTTGTAACAGGGTCTGCTCTACGTATGTTTTCCTGTGTGTATTTAAATGTACCCTGTCGCCCGGATGGCAAAGAGCGTCTACTCTGGAGTCGCAGAGTGAGGAGTTGATCCTAACGTCGGGGTTCGAATCCAACTGTTGAATGTTTAGACCGGTCCTTCGGATGAGACCATACAAACCGAGGTCCTATATCGCCGTAGGTGCTTGCACGAAAAAGACCCCTCCTTGCTCAATAGCCCTTAATACCGAGAATAGGTCAAAATTTGTAGCCTCCATGGCCACCGGCAAGTAGTGGCGTCTCCGTATTAGGGAAAAATTCCCGAGAGGGACGTTAAAAAACATACAACCAATCAATAAAAAAAATGTACTTTCATATTTTCTAAAACACCTGTGATAACTTTAAAAAAAAACCAATTTCCTTCCCTATGTTTATCAATTTCTACCTTATTTCGCAACGTTAGTCCTTGACGATAAAATAGATTTCATGTACAACGCAATTATTCTTGGCAATCTGACAACAAAATTTACTTTCTTAAAGATAATCAGAGATTCAATTTTTAAAAACATTTAGCGCATTATTTCCTGTTAAACGTTATTGTAAGAATTAATTTAGAATATGTATCTCTTGTGGTTTGTTTAACATGTTAAAAATCACAAAGCAGACAAAAACTTGCTAAACTTATTAACATCTATATTAATTATTAATTGTTGGTCATAAAACAGCTAGATCTCTCTCTCTCTCTCTCTCTCTCTCTCTCTCTCTCTCTCTCTCTCTCTCTCTCTCTCTCTCTCTCTCTCTCTCATTTTGGGAACCTTGTTTATTTTATAAATGGAATTTAAGCAAAAAATGTTCCCTTACATTAATAGCACAGAGAAACTTTTTTCTGTGTATACTTTATCATGTTCAGAAGGAGAGTATAATAATTTTAACCCAACAACATTTAATTATTACCCAACAACATTTAATCACATGTATGAATAAATTCCCCCTTAACAGTTTTTTTTTAACATTAACACTTATCCTAACATATTTTTCATGTATAATTTTTATCTCTCTCACTTTATAATATGAGAATTCTTTGCGTTTTTTTTTAATTCTTAAATAGATGAATCGTCTTCCTCATGATCGTTTTCATTCGCAATTCGACTCGAATTTAGAAGTCAAAGAATTCCTTCGAGAAAAGGGTGGCCGATCAATTTAAAATCCTCCTAAGAAATAGTAAATACAGCTTCTTTTCTTCCAGATTTGCTGTGGCAAAAAATGCAAAGAATCCATTGGCATGTCCATCTAGTGTTCCTTTGCCAAACGAATAGATTTAATGCACAACGCAATTATTCTTGGCAATCCAACAACAAAATTTACTTCCTCAAACAGATCCAGAGATTCCATTTATAAATACATGTAACTCATTATTTCCCTGTTAAACGTTATTGTTAGTAAGAATTTTGTTCTTACAATAATTTGCTGTAATTTGCTGATTCTAAATACCAAACAATAATATAAAGCAAAGAAAGATAGATTGCAATTAGTTTGAAAATAAATATATTTCTTAATTGTATTTCTTTTACGCTAATCAATTTTTTAAACTGCAAAGTAAGGCTTGCTTACGTACCTTTACATTAATCGTAGACTAATTCTGGCACTCTCGGTTGTCTCCGAATAATTTTATTTATTTAAACCGGATAATCAACGAAGCTAAAAAGACTTTCCTTTTTCTTTGGTCTCAGATTTGAGAATCTCTTTAGAGCAATAGTTCCTGGAACTCATGCACCAAAACTCTTACAGAAGCCAATGCTGCGTTATCAGTGAGAAAGTGTTCAGATATATCCCCAGAGTTTGGACGGAATATGATTTATACAAATCCTTCCAGTTTCGTGGATAATAATTTGTGTCCGTGTATTCATCGAAGGGAAAGCATTTTAAATACATCAGCTTACACTTTAAACTCCGAACAACACAAGTCACATGTATGAATATAACTTCCCTCACATAGTTTTCAATTCATTAAACACTTATTGAAACCTATTTCCCCCATTATTATGATTTATTTTATTCAGTACTGTATAACATGAAAATTCACTCGCCGCTTTTCACTTCGACAAGTGATGCTTACTAAAATTTTCTTGAAAATATAGAAAAAAAGATCTACTATAAAATTCGTAAATGCTGACTTCAGAAAACTTTTTCTATCTGTTGGTCATCCACCTATGATTTTTAAACATTATTTGTGTGAAAGATCTAGACACCATGGAAATGAACATTTTCTCAAAATAAAGTGTGTTAATGTGATGCCTTAATTTAGATTTAACATCCATGTTGTATATGTAACGATGGTAGCTCAGTGAGTGCATTAACCGACCAGTTGCAATGGAAAAGAAAAGTTATGGCTCAATCCTAGCATAGAGCGTTAAGATTTTTCTAAAACGCAAACATTCAATTTAATTCAATTCAATATTTCATCAGTTTTATTTTATGTACTGATTAATTTTTAAAATTGATAAATTTCGGTTAATTCTATTAAGAGCAAAGGAACCCCTTCCATCATTTT